ATCAGGCTAGAAGGCGGAGGGGGGGGGTCCATAAACAAGGGGGTAACCTATATCCAATAAGGAAAGGGGGGAGGTCAAATTCTTTTCAATGAAGGGCTCAACATTTAATTAAAAGAAGGGGGGAGGGGGTGCAAAGTTTATCCAATGAAAGAGAGAATGGGACAGGGAAGAGTGGGGGGGGGGGGTATATGTGCATTACAGATTTAGATTTTAGAAAAAGATCTGAAAGAAAAAATGAAAAAATTAACATCAAAATACAAGATTTAAATCCTTTTATAATATTTTTTACTCAAAAGTTTATTCATTTCCCTCTAAAAATCATTAAATTTCCCAATTTAACCAAAAAAATCGTAAAGGAGATAATTTTTTGCAATTAAAATATACACCCCTGATGCATTAATACAGTCTACTAATCATTCCCTGCTTATAATCAGTTTGTGCAAGGATTCAGGTTGACATTCTCCCTCGCTGGCCCTAAACGAGGGGGGGAGTGCAACCACAACAATTTTTAATCCCCACCGCTGAAAGAGTGAAAAAGTTGTGGTTGCACCCCCTCCCACTCTAGATATATACATGTATTGCCAAGTTTATTTTGTACTATAAGCTAATAAGCATATTCAGCGTTAAAAACTCATATATTCATTTATCAAGCGTCAGTCATCAATCATCTTGTTGGATTGATTTTTCTTGAAATAAATTGAATAATTTATAACAATAAATATTAATTCAAAAAACATTTTGACTCGAATTTTTCAAGAATATTAACCGTACCTCGACACTGCAATATACTCCTCACGAACCAGTTTCAAAATTCGTCTGAAATTAAAAAACTATTTCATTATTTATTTCTAAGGGTGCTTTAAAGGGATCAAGTGCTCCTTCATGTACATCGTGGTATGTCCGATTCCCATCGGTTCCCTTAAAAGCTTTGCATGATTAATATTTAACGAGATATCCATAATTTAATGTAATCTCTATAATAAAACAAGACATTCGTATATATATTCCCTCTGGCCGACCAAACGCTGGACCGCATGGGTTCTAAATGTTTGAGTAAAATTTGGATAGCCTTGGGGTGACATAGGTTAAAAAAATAGATTCTTTTCAAAAATCCAAACTTTTTTTCCTTCAAAAAACCGGAATTAAAAAATTCCCCGGACAACGCCGGGCCCTTCAGCTAAAGAATCAAAAGGTACCGTTGTGAGTCAAGCATTGCCCCTCTTTAAATGTAGGGCCCCTTCGAATGTTAACCCTCTTTATAATAATCTTTAGTCAATCAATCAATCAATCAGTCAAAAACATAATTACGCTTTAAAAGTTGTTTTTCTGAAAATACGCAATCTATACCTGCACACTTCTCTTGATTTGTCAATCTATACCTGCACACTTCTCTTGATTTGTCAATCTATACCTGCACACTTCTCTTGATTTGTCAATCTGTACCTGCATACTTCTCTTGATTTGTCAATCTATACCTGCATACTTCTCTTAATTTGTCAATCTATACCTGCACACTTCTCTTAATTTGTCAATCAATTCTTTGGCCGTGCTCCAGTCCTCTTCCTCTACCAGCACCTATAAAACCATCAATCTATCACCATATCAACCAATCAATCAATCAAATAAACATCTAAGAGCAATCAATTCAAAACAATAAATAAAAGAAAATCATTTAGTCGAGAAATTTAATCAATTAATCAACAATTAGCAAATCGAACATATAGTCATTTAAGAGAAATCAATCAAATCATTCAATTATTCAACTGTCAGAGGCAATAAATCAATAAATCAATCAATCAGAGTACATTCAGTCAAATCAATCCACTTATCAATTAATCATCAAAGAGCAATCCATCAATCTGAAGCAATTCTAATCAATCTATAGCAATTAATAATTATTATAATAATGATGGTTAATAATGATAATAAAGAACATTATTTAATAATGATAATTAATAATGAAAACATTCAATTTATTAGTAAAGCAATTAATAATGAAAAACTTGTGATTAGTTTGTTTTTAGATATATCAACAGCTTTTGATTCTATTGGCAGAAGTATATTGATTTAAAAACTTGAAAATGCAGGGGCCCAATACTTGATATATCAACAGCTTTTGATTCTATTGGCAGAAGTATATTGATTTAAAAAATTGAAAATGCAGGGGCCCAATACTTTAATTAATGAAAATCGAATTCGAAGAGTATTTGTAAATATACAATATCAGAACAATGCAAATCATCAAGGAGTTATTAGGGCTCTATTCTTGCAGTATTGTTTTGGATTTATGTCAATGATTTTTATAAATGTATTAATGCCTTATCAATTGCATATGCAGATGATACTTCATGTTTATTCAAACATACAGATATTTTAAAATGTCTTTCAGAAAAAAATCTAAAATCAATTTTTAATTGGAACTGTCTAAATAAATTATGATTTGAATGTAGATAACAAAAAGTTTATGGGTTTTTCTCTGAATGGCCAAATATTAATAACTTTCCAACTCTTTATATAAATGAAATTGAACTGAAGAAAGTATCTAAATTAAGTCCTATTTCAAACGTTCGAATGCTAGGTGTTCTTTTTGATCAGATTCTTAATTTTTCACAATTTGCTGGAAAAAAAATCAATGTCTTTCTGTATTATAAATAGAGTTAAAAACTTGATGCCTAAGAATTGTTTGAAACTTTTGTATTTTGCTCTTGTTCAATTATTTTTGTTTAATGATAATACTTTGATTGTTAACAAATAAGAAAAATGCAAAAAAAAATAACAGAATATTTTCTGGATTAAACGTTGTAAGAATAGGCTATTAGATGAAAAAATAGAGCAACATGGGTGTAATAAGCAGTGCTCAGGATCCGGATCCGGATACGTTGGATCCGCAAAATTTTGACTTCCTGGATCTGGACCTGCAAAAATATGCGGATCCATGCATCCGGATCCAAGGGCCAAAACCAAAACCTACAAAAAACTTTTTTACTCTCCAAGCCCAAATATGACCTATTTAAAAACAAATAATAAAAATTTTCTAATTTCTGAATGGTTCATCAAGTTTTAGCATAAAAATAAGCGAAAAAAAGCAAAATATTTTAAATATTCTTCTTTTTTCTAATCTTAAAGATATGACCTGTGCAGATCTAGGATCCGGATCCGCATCAAAATTAAATGGATCCTAAGCACTGATAAATAGTCTGAGTGTTTCTCTTGTAATTTAACAACACGACTATTAACTACTCTACAGAATAGTTTAACCAAATTAATTAGTAAGCATTAATTAATGAAAATTTTAATTGTTCCTTTCCGTAAAGTATAAAAAGTAATAAATCTGATCATTTTAAAGATACTAAGGGGGGATGTCATAGGTCCTATTACTCTCTGGAAAATTTAAAAAGTGGTTAAACATAACAATGTTATGGGACGCTGATTTTATGCATGCGAACTCACTAATATGTATTGTAACTGCTAAATGTAATTTCAAAAAGATCGTAGCAAATGTGCGCGCGTGCGCGCACTTTTTGTCAAATAATACGACTTTTTTACGTTTGCACATGCTTTAAACCGTTAAAAGAGCTTGAAAATGCATCCGGACGCGATAACACAAGAAATCCCTGAAACTGTTGTGCCCTATAGAGCTCACTAATGTGAATGCAGGTTCATTTAATGGTGTAAAGCATGAAACGTGAAAAAGTCGTATTTTTTAACAAAAAGCGCGCGCGCACATATCCGATATTTTTGAAATTGCATTTTGCAGTTACAATTTATATTACAAAATAATAGTGAACAACCCCCTAAGAAGAAAAATTAATGTAAATTCAGAGAAAAATCATTTCCAATAGGGGGCAGGGGGCAGCCTTACCGGATTCAATTTTTAAAAAGAATACAATGACAATGAACATATCTTATACCTTCACCATTTCTGAAGTGTGGACTGCAAGATCATAAGAACTAAAATCATTTTAGATATTTTACAATATGAATCAAAACAGATAAAAATTAGAATCATATCCACAATCTCTTGCTTGGACAGGCTAGGGTTCCGAGCGCCGTGGCTTGGTCAGGCTTGGAGGCCGGGCGCTGCAGCCCCATATCCAACTATAAGTGGGGGATAGGGGGGGATAATAAAATCGTTCTCTAGGAATATACCGGAGGGGATAGAAAATAACCGAATAGATTTGGGGTAAATTCCTAGTATACTATTTTTAAAATATACTAAAAGAAATGTTAAAACGATTTTCCTTTTATATTTCTCTAGAAATATATTCATTTTGAACTTTTCAATCACGTGACTAAGCTGAACCATTTTAATCTGGAATCATTAAACTTTGCGTCTACACAATTACATAAAACCACTCAAAGAATCTTGGGACATTGAGCATTTAGTAGCATTAAATAAAAATGAATGTAAATATATAAAGTTTTATTCCATCAATTTAAATGTTTAAATCTACGAAATTGCAAAGAATTTGCCAGCAAAGAGAAAATAAAAAATAACATTAATAATTGCGCGAATGCCCATGATGATTAAAATTAAAGAAGTTGCATCATCGAAACTAAGGTTTATCGGAGAAATGTAAACAACCCAAACAACTGTTCAAAACTTCATTTGCTTTAAAACTCGAACACAACTTTTGTTTAGTGTCTAAATTGTCAAACGCAGATAAATTGTTAAACGCAGATTTTGGTTTAAATTTTTTTTTAATTTTTAAATTTTAGAACAAAAACGACGACATTTATCAAAGTCTGTTAAAACGCGGGAAATTTAAAAATATTTCTACCTGTGTACACAAACAGTACAGATTCCTGAATTTTATAAACAAAACATTAACCCGCATCTCTCATGTCTGTTCAGGATAAAATAAACGTTGTATTTAGCACAATGGCGATGAATTGCCAACGAAATTAATTTCGAGGCAACCCTGTGATGTATCCTGGACGAAAAATGGCCGTACAGTTATTTTAACATGTTTTAAATTCGATTTTGACGAATTGTTAAAATGGAGCGAATCGAAGATTTTCAAGTATTAAATCAGATCGGCCGAGGTGGTTTTGCGTCAGTTTATAGAGCTGTATGTGGGGCAGATGGAAAGGTAAGTTTTAAAATAATAATTGCGACATTAAATGAAGTTAGTCATTTAAACTATCTTTCTGTGCTTATAGGAACTGTGTTACGAAGCATTGAGATGAATAACTTATCGAAAAGTCACGCAGTTTCCAGAGGACACTAAAGACGTTTGCACCATGGACCCAGAGGTCTCCTGCAAACCACCACACAAGTAAGTAAACAAGTAAGTAAGTAATGCCTTATCAATTGCATATGCAGATGATACTTCATGTTTATTCAAACATAAAGATATGCATATTTTAAAAATCTAAAGTCAATTGTTTAATTGGTATTGTCTAAAGAAATTAAATCTAAAGTAAATTGTTTAATTGGTACTGTCTAAATAAATTAATCTAAAGTCAATTTTCAATTGGTATTGTCTAAATGAATTAAATCTAAAGTCAATTGTTTAATTGGTACTGTCTAAATAAATTAAATCTAAAGTAAATTGTTTAATTGGTA